GGGTACAGACTTTACCATTAGATGTTTGGGCCAGGAAACATTGAGAATACCCATACAATTTATAGGTGGAGCAGCAGATCTGCTGGCTGTAAATTTTTTTCTGGTGGAGGACTCCATATTCAGTCCTGGAACATCAAGAGTCTCTCCAGCACTAAGGCTACGGGGGATAGTTGATCTCAAGATACCAGGAGAGTCAGAACAACATACAGGTTCACTCACTAGTTGGTGCTGGCCTGTTATAATTACTTAATTGCACTGATGAACAGAAATTTGCATAGGGAGTTTCTTACTGGGTAGGTCTGAATCACACAGCAGAGTTAATGCATCCCTCAAGGGCTGTGTGCATTGGAGAATGCGCAGCAAGCTTGACATATGGGCTCCGTTACAGGATTCTGGACACTGGATTCAAATGGCATCACAGAAAAGCAGACGGGGCTGTGACGCAGCTCATACGAGAGGCCCAGCAATTTTGGAAATGCAGGGGTTGCTGGCAAAACAGATACATTTCAAGATGTGTAAAGAAATAGCCAAAACAAACAACAATAAATATATGCTAAGGATGGTAAGGCAAATGACACAGGATCACCACAGCAAATAATCCATCACCGAGCAACACGAGATTATGTACCAGTGTTGCATGTAAAATGCTGGTGATTACAAAACAGTTTAATAGATCTCATTAGTTAATCAGAGATAAAACTCCTATTCCATTTTTTCTGATTTTCCCTACACACCCGTTCACAATTTCATTTGTGTATTTGAGTTCTAAAGCCTGTATATACTGCAGTAAATTCCCAAGTGTGTAGCTGTTCTGATCAAGGTTTTCCTTTTGAAAACTCACCCAAAAAAACGCCAAAACCAAGAAAGGTGTATTTAAAGTTTTTCAAACCAGAGGTTTTGCTTGTGAAAAAGAACACCAACTTTGTAAATAGGCTTTGTTCTAAGTTGATCTAAGAAAATGAAACTTTATATTCCTTTAGGAAGATGGTAAGGAAGTACTAAATACTTGTTTTGTTCTTAACTCTTTACCTAATAATGCCTAACATGCTATTTTCTTTTCTAGAAAATACCTATTATATCTTCACAGATTCATCTATTAAAGCTCCAGCATCATCTCCAGACAAACATAAAGTAGTTTACTGCCCACCCATATTACCCATGGCATAAATGTTAGGCCTGCTTTTTCCCCTTCACATGTGTCGGAGGAGCACATACTAACATGTAATACCCTTTGTATTAACGCCATATATCACCTTCTGGTTTTATTACCCTTTCACTTCAGGCTGCAGGCTGGCCTTGCAGTTCTTTGCTGTTAGCTCTCATCTTTCTTGCAGCACCATTCACCACTTTTTTCCAAGTCACTCATGTCTATATTAAACAATCACTAGTCATTAACGCCACCTCCAAAAATAACCTATGGGTTTTCATTGGTGATTCCCCTCCACTGGTGAATCTGATTACTAATTTCTGGTTTGCTTCTGTATTGTTAACCAGCTATTTATTCATGCAAGGCCTTTAATGACAACTTCTTTTATGAGTAGACCCAACCAAACTCAAGTAGACCAGAACTACCTGATCTCCTTTACCTTCATGTTCACTGATTTCTTCAAAGAATATTTACAGAATCTGTGGGACAGGATTTCCCCTTGTGAAATTACAAGTCCTATTTAGCCATTTGTCCAGCAACTCTCGGCTGTACTGTGGCTCCTACCAACTTGCCATTTGGGCATTACTACTCTGAAGTTTCCTGTATCTCCACAGAATGATTTCTAGAAATTACTGTTATATTTGTGACCTTCCATTCATCTAGCACTAAGGCAGTTTTAAGTGAAAAAATACAAAGTACAGTTCATAGTTCAGCCATTTCATCCTTGAGTTTCCTTAGAACTCTTGGATGAATACCATCTGTCCTGTCATTTTGTTTCAAAACCTTTTACACTTGGATTTGAGACAGATGCTCCACCATGCCTCTCCCATTAAAAAGTTCTGTCATGAAAACTTCCTGAAGCTTCTCTACAAGGTTGAAAAAACCAAAGTTTTCCAGAAATCTTCTCTATTTGTTGCTACTATATCCTGAGCGTCTATTGTCCCTAGGACAGCTTGGCAGCCTCCTCTTTCTGATGTGTTTGAAAGCTGTTATTTAATCCGTCTGTTTTCTCCAGTTGCTGTGATGCTCTTTTTGCCTGCCACATTGCTGTGTCTGACCTGTTGGGGTGCAGGTTTCTTCTGGTTAACTGGTTCAGTAATAACTTCAACTTTTTAGATTGCCTTCCTACCTTTGTTATTCTCTCATACCTGGTGTTTATCCACCTCAGTCTTATTTTTGGTGGTCTTTTGGTCTGTTTTACTGGGTGGTATGCCTTTATGCTGGACCTCTAGTACAATGGGAGCAGTCTCCCTGATGCCTGCAACCATTTTGGGCATCCCTTTTAGTTTTAATTTGAGACAGACCTCCCAGTTCACCTCTAGTGAAAAGTTTCCAGTGAGTCATTTCATAAGATTGTCCATATTGAACATGGATGTGAAAAACTAATTTAGCTTTTCTTCTATGGCCTTATCTTTTCTGAACATTCCTGTTACACTTTGATCACTTACTAGTCCTTTCCAGCACTAGTTCTTTCTGTGCTCACAGATGGGCATTATCTGAACCCCCTGACCTAACATACCATACTTTTTAAAGCTTATTTTGCAAGTAGTAATTTCCACATGCTCTTTTCCATTTGCCTTTTAAACTATATTCAACACACTTCTTATTGAAAAGATAAAATACTATTTTTTTTAAATTACTACTTATGTTTAGTTGTGACATCATTCTCAGTTGATAGATCAGCCTGATGCAGTGCTTTGCTGTGGCTTGCTGCAGCTCATGCTGACACAGCACGCACACAGAATAATCTGTATAATGATGTGGGTCAGGCTAGTAGAGCCGTGCAATAGACTGTTTTTGCAGTAAGGAAAGATCTCTCCACCAGCCAGGATATATTTGTAAATGAGATCATAAACAAAAGTAATCCACAGCTGGCTTTTCATAGAGCATAGTTAGGACGTGGGACAACAGTGACACGTTAGGCAATTCTGCACTAAGTTGTGCTGAAGCTAAATTAGCCAATTAATGCTAAATGAAACAGAACCCAAAAGCCATTTTACCTCACTGAGGAAAATATTAGAAAAGCTCCTTTATTCTGAATTACCTCAAGAACTGCTCTTATTCTGAAACAATATTTAAAATTCCGTAACCCATGGAGATTTTTAGGACACCTGAAGGGTGATATTTTGTTTCAATTTAAAAGCATTTGAGCAGAAGTAAAAAACATTTCAAATAATCAAATTAGTCAATTTACTCTGACACTACTGCTCCACTGTAAAAGATTATTTAAATCTAATCAGAAAGACTTCTTGAAACATCACTGCTCTGTTCAGAGAGGGAGTCTGAGAACTGAGAGGAGGTGATGGTGCATTTCTACGAGGAAATCTGAACAGAATATGCTGAAAATGAGTGAAACCACCGTAGTTTTGGCTACACGCTATGACAGCCTCTAGCTGGAAGAATTGTGGAGTTAAGGATAAAAGTGCTCCAGGATTGCAAATTCTACAGGAGAAAATGTTCTTGAGCACTGGATGTACTGCAGACAAAACAACTGTCTTTCACTTCCAGTTTATGCCTGTAGCTTCCCAAAATTGGAGCTTGCAAAATGGACCCACTGATCCTGGCTGTGCTGAGTATCTCTGGCAGGTCCAACCTGTAAACCAGGAGCCAATCCTTCTGATGCTACTTTATCTCAGGGGCAGGGTGGGAAGAACAACTCCGGGTTTCTAAGGCTTTCAAAGATGAGTACCTACTTTAGTATAAAAATGTTTGGATTGCCTTTACAGTTAGCTTATTTCCATAATTTTAGGAACACACAAAGTGGTTTTGGCAAGACTCTTGTTTCAGAACATGCTACATTATCGTTAACCTACCACAGTGACATTTGCCATGGTTATAGTGCTGGAATTACTTTTTATCCTATGCATGTACAGACTGTATGCAAATTTATTTGAGAAGTTGATGAACAATAAGGAAACAGTTTAAAAACAAAAAAATAGAAAGCCTGCCTTTTGTAGTACTTGATATTTTGGACAAGTTTTTTTCAGTGCTAGGCTTTCAAATGCTAGTAAAAGCCTTTGAAGGCCCCTAGTATTTATCACAACAAATTAAAGTTAAGCTATTAGTTATCTGTGGGACCTCCTATTTCCCAGTTGCAGATATTGTTAAGATACCTAGATTTAGACTCAAATATACTAAAGATTGAGTAAAAAAAAAAAAAAAAAAAACAAACCCAAGAAACAATATAACTGTTACACCATGAACATCTCAGGAGCACATGTTCTTTACAAATGACTCCTCTCTTTCCTGCAGGGATCTACTGGCATGTGCAGAGATAACATTCCGACATTTTTCATGCTGTTCTGCAAGCTGTGTATTTTGAGAAGGCATTAATACTGAGGCCAGGAGAGAGGAGCAAGGAACATCTGGGAAGACATAAGACATACCTCTAACCACATCTGTCCTATAGCCAACTTCCCTGTCCTGATATGGGCAGCAGAAAAGGCCAGTGACCCTGAGCTCTGGGAGAGAAAGTTCCCAAGATTATCAGCTTGTATACCAAGACAAAACTTTTAAGGCCTCAGCTTCAGTAGTATGGGGAAAGAAAACAATCCAGGAATAATTATCAGCAACCTCAGTACTTGGAGACTTTTTTTTTCTCTACTCGCAAGGTGATACAAGCAAATGCTAGCATAAGGAAAACATCAATTGCAACTAATGGTAGTATATGCTGTGTAGTAGTATATGAACTGTGGTTAAAAAAGTATAAACTCCAGGAGCTGACACTTGAAGAGACTTGCCAGTTTTGTGGTAACGGCAGTAGCGCAGGAACAATGCAAAGCATTATCCTGCACAGGGCTTCAGCATTCTGGGAGTACCCAGCCTCTCAGGAACATCAAGAATACAACAATACTCATGTACAACATTTTATTACAAAACTGTTAAAAAAGTAATACAATGCAATATACTACAAAATATAAGATCAGCTATTAAGCTACCTCCTTTGTTTTACTTAGCTATAAAGAAACACCTGGCTATCAGTCACTGAGTTTCAACAAAACCATTAAATATGCAGGAACATTCCACACCTTTTTCTCTTTTTTTAACCCGAACTGTAGCAGCTCTTGGCTACTACTTACATTAAAAATAGAGGTCTCCCTACAAAGAACCACATTACCTATACACAATTCTGTACAGATTTTTATACTGAAGCTAACAATGAGCTGCACTTGAGTTCACATTCTTAGCAAAATATTGGATTTTGAGCATAAAGATTTACAGCAGGACATTCATTTATTCCTCATCCTCATCTTCCTCCTCCTCTTCATCATCTTCCTCCTCCTCCTCCTCCTCTTCTGGTTCTGCTTTCTTCTTAGATCCTGCAGGCCTGCCTGGGCCCTTTTTTCCTGCATCACTCTTACTCTTGGCACGATATGCTGCAATATCCTGTAAGAAAAATGCCGTTTAGTTGCTGATAATGTAACTCTGAAGACGAATTTGTACTGCTTCAACAATTTAATACTACTATACTATGCAGATCAAATACGGTGTGCAGAAAAGCAGGGTTCAAACCTTGGGACTTTCATGCTTACACCTTTTGGCAAGAGAATGCATGATCCAGACAGTTTTAAGAATTTTACAACCTCAGTACTTTGGAGTATGACTCTGTATTTTACCAAGCAGATGACCTGTTTTCTGGAAGCATCTTATTGGTAAAATCTCTAGACATGTAAAAACTCCATCCAGGTTCACTGTAAAGCTTCCAGCTACCCCCACACCACACCTTTTCGTGCATTCTGAAGCCTGACAAAGGTTGACATTAACATTTAGAATTATGAACCTTATACACTTTAGGTGCAAAGCAAACGTGACACACTGACAGTGACCTCTACAACTGTAGCCGTTATTTTATCACTTTCACTGTACCTTTTCATATTTCTCCTTTAGTTTTGCAGCTTTCTGTTCATATGGCTGTTTATCTTTGGCCGACTGTTCAGACCACATTTCACCTAATTTCTTTGCTGTGTCTCCAATAGACAAGCCAGGATGTTCATTTTTGATTTTTGGACGGTGTTCCGAACAGAAAAGGAAGAATGCAGATCTAAAATTTTTTTTTTTTTTTTTTGGTCACAGAAACACTCACGGTGGTCTTTTAGGAGCATTGGGGTCCTTTTTCTTTCCCTTCTTCTCACCCTTGGGAGGAACATAGTTTTTCATCTCCCTGTCATAACGAGCTTTGTCTCCTTTAGCCATTTCTTCAAACTTTCCTTTTTCCTTGCTAGACATTGTCTGCAGACACACGGAGAGAAAAAGAGTCTGGATCAGATAAAGTGCCTACTGACCCACTAAGGTCCAAGCAGCAGCTGCTGCCAGGGATCTTTTCCCAGCAGCCCGGCGCAGGGGCGGGGGCCGCCTGACAGGGCTCAGCACGGCTCGGCTCGGCTTATCCCGGCTCACCTTCCACCGCTCCGAGCACTTCCGCGAGAACTCGGCGAAGTTGACGGACGAGTCCGGGTGCTTCTTCTTGTGCTCCTCGCGGCAGGTCTGCACGAAGTAAGCGTACGAGGACATCTTGCCCCGCGGCTTGTTGGGGTCGCCTTTGCCCATGGTGAGGTCGGCGGCGGGTCCCTGAGGGGGAGAGAGGAGGGAGGGGGCGGGAAGGGGCGGCGTAAGGG